GAAGGTCCAAGACTTTCATAAATTTTTTAGAAAGGAACTTCCTGGGAAGCCCTGAGCCTAGCCTGAATAAGAAGACGCGTTACAAAGTGAATATTTAAAACGTATCCGAAAAGCAAATATAACTTTGTGAGCTTCAATAAGAACACTTGGCAAATTTACGGTCGGCTTAGGATATCTGCTCACATACGTAGAAAGCCAATTAAAATGTAGTGGCGCAAATAATATTAACGAAAGAATGATGATTTTTGCCGCAAAGTTATTCGTTGCCTTTCCTTTTAACGGTTTAGTCATTAACGAAATATTTCCCATTTCATCAAGCCAACGAGCAGATGTCTTATAATAATTTTGATGATGTCCGCAAAAATGGGTGGCTCGTAGACACAGTCATATTAATTGGGCATTTCATAAACGTACAGCTTTATTGTGCCGAAGAATTTAGGTCTTAAATCAACTGAGTCCAAATTAACAAGCTCTACTTCGCAGTGAATTAGTAGTAGTTCGTAGTATGATTTTCACTTTATTACGTTATTCGATTAAAAAATAGATTGAAAAAATCAATTCGAGCTAGGTAAACATTCATATATATATATATATATGTATGTGCTATTTTCTCATTTATATAGCATTCGTTTATATTTATGCATAAAAAATGACCCAAAAACTAAGTTGCAATAAATATTTGAAAGCATTTTTCGATAATGGATAGTCCCGTGAGAATGTCTGGTGTTGTTCCAAGGTCGATTTAATCCAATCAACGTGCTTGTATACGCTGACGAAAGGACGTGGCTTCTCAATATTGCAGTCCTCACCAATAATACCCACTACGACATGATCGCAAAAAACTGGCGAGCCAACAATATAAGTGCAAGCGTTAATATGTATTTTTAAAGATGACGTAACGTTAACACACATATCATCCTCCCGTAGCTCTGGCCAGTCGGATAAGCATTGTTCTCTACCAATGATAATAGCATCTAACGAAATTTGGCAATCCCACCAGCCAAATGCAACACAATTAGAACTTATGCCTACTTCCTTGTCAGGTAAATTTATAATGAATTCCTTGGTTTTTATATCCAGAGTATGCTCAGAGATAACAATTGCGAGCCGATGACTGTCATCGTAGTAAATCACTTTCTCCCAGCCGGGAGAATATGAGTGAGGCGGAGGTATGCTTGACATATCTCTAACATATGATAATTGACCTTTAACTCCGGCAAAATTGGTTAATATCCCTTTTACACCTATTATTGCACCGTAAGCTTGATACTTTACTTTTTCACCGCTGTGCGTTGGCCAGGCTAATACGGCTATATGTCTATGATATGAATACGCATTATGCTTGTGCGCTAGGTAGCTATGCAAAAAACCTTGACTAAAATTACGAGCAGTTCCTTTGTCCGCATACTCCAACGCATTCACGATTCGATTGTTAACGATAATTAAATATAAAAATAATGCCAAAATATTGAACATTTTTTCAAAAATAAGTTTTTATATATACAAAATACAAACAAAATGAATTAGCTTGACATTCGAAACTTTTTTAAACTTCTTCTTCTTCTTCCTTTGTGAGTTAGCAAATCAATAACAAATGACGTACTGAGTTGAGTTGAAAAGATTCAATGTGATCAGGAGGTTCCTGCTTTGAACCTTAATTAAGTTGACAAATAGCTTGATAGCGTGTAAATCACATCCGCCACGTAACTAAAATCTTTTTTATCTTTCTCAACTTTTGACAAGAAATGTTTTAGGATTTTCTTCCTCTTCAAATTTCGTAGCGTGAGACGTGATGCGCAATGCAAGTGGTATGGAAGTGTCTTATCAGAGAGCTGAAACTTTGTGAGAGTGTACAAATGTATGGGAAGGAGTAGATTCATAATATGGCTAAGAATATCTATATGTGTAGTTGACGGGCTTTAAAAAAAGGAGAGATAACCAATTTGCCTGAAAGCGAATTGCCAAAGATGTTGGAATGGAATGACGAATAAAAGTGACGTCATTCGAACAGACAATTAGAAGATGAACAGGTGACTGAAAAACCCCACATGTACATCAAAGGCAATTTGCGAGCATGGAATGACGAATAGAAGTGACGACATTCGGACGGACAAATAAACGATGAACAGAGGATCGCGAAACCCCACATTTGCATCATGGGCAATAGCCACTGAAATTATTTCAGCACTGCTGCTAAGAACAGACTGAGTACTTGTCGAGTGCACTTAAATCAAAGGAAATCAGAATACGATCATTGATATGTGATGTGTGATGGTCTACAAAATCCAATATTATCTGCAATGATATTTCCATGAATAAGAATGTGCCTAGGCACCCAAAGAAAATGGAAACAAAATCTATTAGATATGCGACCTTATAGTGAAGATCTGATATCTAACACATAATGAGTTTCTCTTGAGGGAACAATTGCAAAGCGCATAAGGCAGTTTTGCTGTCTGAAACGATAAGAGATTTCTTCTACGATTGAGTACTCGCTAAACGGATGGCTTCCAGAATCGGAAGGTATTCAGCCGAAAATACGAGGTTGCATGGGTGATTTGAGAAATACGCGTCGATGTTAATATTTAGGAGTAAGAGCTCGCTGCCTACAAAATCAGACTTTGAATAATGAGTAAAAGCGAGTGAAAAATATTTCCATTTAGCGTTAAGCAAATTCAAGTAACCGGGTTGCGCTTCTGCAGAAGTAACTGTGATTTTTCCATAGGCAGAAATTTGATTACTCGTTCAAAATACCATTATTGAAAAGAAATTTTGAATAAATTATTAGAGGCGAAATTGGCGAGTAAACGAAAGCTTTCAGATAGAGGAACAGCATTTCCTATTCGTTCTAAGCTTTGTGAGTGGATTTCATGGAGAAAAGAGCTAAGCGAAGACATTTCTATCAAATTTTGCGTCATTCAGAAGATGCTTAATTAAAATGTCGAATAAGAGCGACTAAGCGTATTCCAATTACCGGTCCGAGATACATATTTTAATTATGCAAAAAAAGTCAGAGCACCTTGGGATACCGCAAAGGGATTTCAGGACGCTAATTAGTTGGAAACATTCCTTGGTACTTTTGCCAATGTGAGCAGCAGGAGAAAGTTTAGACTGCAGAAAAAAAACTGAAAAGTAAGAGATTTTGGCAAAGGATACATTCGAACCACATATGAGAAGTAGGGAAACAACAGGATTTCTCCTTTTTTATGAAAAGCCACGCACGTAATCTTATTAAATGAAAGTGCGAAATTGAATTGAAATGAAATTATGAAGAAAGCTGCACATACATGCACTATACAAGTATATATTCATGGCATGTAACCTACGGCAAGCAGCTGGCGACCGGTAAAAAGATTAACAACAATTGGCAGAAATTTAGCAAAAAGACGGATTGACGGATTAAAAATGTCGTGATGGATTTAGGTAATGGTACCTAGCTTGTAAAAGGATATATAAGCAGAAGAGTCAGTCGTAAGAAGACTCGAGTGTGTCGAAAGTTAGTCGCGAAAGTCGAGTCACCGGACAAGATCGGAAAGAGATTTAAATCGGTGTAGATATAAGTTCCCATGAATACTATGTAAATAGACCTCCTAAATAAAACCTACACTAATCTAAAAATGCCAATTCAGTGGTACGAACTTTATTTCAAAAGAAGCTAAATAAATAACGTAAATCCACAAAAGAGTGATTTAAAAATGAAGCGCCCACAAATTCTTGCAAAAAGGCACATATAACAAAAATAAAATGGACTCAAGTCTATATAAAGTAAGTGAAACACAAATATATATATATATATATATATATATATATATATAATTGTTTTCACATTTATTGGAAAGCTACCTACAATGAATTATTTAAAACATGTTTTCACTTGATATAGACGAACCTTAAAATTTAGATCAATCATCAAAACTTTTAATGAACCCTTTATGAACCGCAAGAAAAAGTTATTTGGATAAGAAAAAAGAAACAAATCCAAAAAAACAATACTTCCTATATATGCAAAATTCAAATAATAATTATTGGTGTGAAAAAGGTTAACGCTTTTCTTTCTTTAACTTTGTAACGTTTGTAAAGTTCCCACTGATTATCAATAGTTGAAAGAATTTTTTGTTAAACAATTTATCGGAAATCAATTGTTTCACAAAAAGCAGAAGGCATTGGGTTTGATAGCTGTAACGCTGATAGAGTTTTTGCAATTTGTGTTTAAAGTGGGAGTTTCAACTCTTCGCAAAATCATTTATGAAACAGGCGAACTCCACTGGGATAAGTTAGCTGCTAAACGAACGTGCATGGAGGAAAAACAGCTCAGGGACTTACCTCATTATATCGGTGCAGATTTCATGGCGCCTTAGTTTACATACGAAACCGTATCATATGCTACTAATTCCCACATAGACTCGAATTTGCGCTAATTTGCGGCCCACAACAATTTATCAATCAAATATCATATTTATGTATTATATTACAAATCGATGAAAACTTAAAAGTTGCTGACTCTCACAAGCTTGGAAATATAAGCGTGGTTTCGTCGCGTTTAGTAATAATAACGATAAAGGAATGATTCCCAAAAAGGCGGATTTATTTAAACAGTCCGGCATCATTCGTTACATTGCTTTATTCTGATATGGCAACATCGTGTAAAGTGATCTCGGTTAAATAAAGTGGCAGCACTGAAGAAAGGTGAGAGGAAAAATTTAATTTCAACCTATCACTTTGCAGTTTGTGACGCACGTGACAGACCGATTCTGACGAAAGCTCATTATTAAATATAATTCGAAGAAAGAAACCGCGATTGTTATAAAAAGGAAAATAGAACTGAAACTTGTGCGAGACCATAACTTACTTCGCGACAAAAAAAAATAAATTAAAAGGTGAGTATGAAAGAATGATGTGATTTTACATATAAGTCCGTATTGCTATGAAGTTGCAAGTTGATGGGGCTACAGAGAAAATGTGTGAATTGACCAATTGCGACCATATTGGCAGGCGTAGTTGGTCATGTTAGGTGCCTGGGATTAGATACATTTAGTCAACTTGGCCCAATGTCCATGGAAATTGAATCGTGCTGGAAAGGCTTTTCTAAATATTCGATGCTTTGTCTGTCGCTTTCAAAGCCGATCTCTAGTGACAGCCGAACGAACTCTATTTCAAATGTTCGAGCGATAATGACGAATGGGCTGATATGAGCAAATCCACTGACTGCTACGAGAAAACCCGTGGGTTGTGTTATGTTCTGGGAAGTTAACTACAAGCCTACTACATTCTCATTTGTGCAGTTACGATTGCATTCGTGATACACCAGTGTAAATATAAATCGGAGAAGCGGCGATCAATTTGCTGAAATTATTTTTTAAAACTGTTTGATGCGTACCAAAAAAGAACAAAGTGTTGAACTGGGGTAGAATATGTTAGCGAAATTCCACACTACAGGTAGAATTCTACGTTTACATGACGTATTAAGTATTACAACTACACATTAGCAGGGGGCCTACGAACTTGGCAGCGTCTCTAAATAGTGTAAATCTCGTTTATTTACTTCAGTGAGGAATTTCGAAGAATTGACTGAACTCCTAAAGAGTTCCAAGGTAAAACTTTATTTTTATATTTTTTATAGTAGTAGTGTAAGTCCCGACGCTCTTTTGCTTTGACATTTGTATATCTCCCTTTAATTAATTTATAATTCCGCACATGATTTTATTCGTTACTATATTTCAATCGCCCGTATGCCGCAAGATGAAATCGGTATAAAATTTCTTAAATTTTTGGGATCATTTCGGTATACAAGCAGTGTTCGGTCCATTTATATGCATGCGACTTCATTTGAATTTCTCTGAAACGGAATGTTTCGAACCCATGTGCTTGCTACATCCACACCGCGAGTGGTTCACATCAAAAAACTTAAATACTCATATTGAAAGGTAAACGAAGTTCTGGTATAATTTTCTCTTATTTGCTTGTGAAGCTGCTTGGGTCAAAGAAATAAAAGCCCGACAACATGTCATTTATCGGGGATACCGAGCCTTTGGAATCTATACAGAAGGGCGTTGGACATTTTTTATTCTTCACTTGATTGTGTCTATCGGATAACACATAAAACGAATTAATGAGTCTGGCTCACAGTACGCGCTGCTTAGTTATCACCTTACATGTACACAAACTTGAACTACATATTATTC